GGGGAAACGATTTCGGGAACCAGTCAAGTTAGAAAGCTGAAATTTTACGAATTATCTTCCTCCTGTCCCCCGTCCGCCAGAAATTGTGGTTCTAATAATTTAAATTCAGTTTTAATGTCAGGCTGTCTTTGATGAACCGGGGTGCGCTATTACTATTAGAAAATACATACTGGGGACGAGTGGCCGGGCCAGCCAGAATTATTGTAATTGTAGTGGATGGCTGGTTCATGGATCATAAGTGGTGTTGATTTTAGTGGGTGTTTTGCACTGCTTTGATATTCACCAATTTGGAGTTTCTGTATAGCATGAAAAAGTCTGTGCAAAATATACTTCTGCTCCACTTTTGTGCAGTCAGCCGTTCAAACTGCCTTTTTTCGTAACCGTTTTTTGTCAATCGACTTTTTATGTTTCCAGTGCGTGTACATTGCACCACTGAAAGCACTGGTACGCGAACGTGTCAGAGACTGGAATGAACGTTTGCAAAGGCTTAATATCAGGTTACTAAACTTTTTGTCTTTTGTGTTTTCTAACATTTTTTTAAAAAAATCGGGCTGTGATTCATAAGCTTAAGCTTACGGCTCTCAAGGAAGTCAACGGCCATACGGATCACCTCCGAAATGATGGCGCAAATACATTGCACAGCTGGTAGCTATTATCTGAGGTATGCAGCTCAGGATCGAAAAAGCCCGGCATAGCTGCGCCGAGCTATCCCAGTAACGCAACTGACACGGGACTCCCGTACCGATTGTTTGGGCGGTTTTATGAATGAAATCTAATCTACTTTTCAAGTAAAATTGAAAACTAGGTTTAAACGGCTTCTGAGCCCCCAGTACTGTTAGGTTCGAAATGAATTTGAGATTGGATGTGGTCGAGGATAAATAGCTGTTAGACTTCCTTGTACCGTGCATTTTAATTGTAAATTCAAAATGCGATAGGCCGTCGTTGCTTGAGAACGAACAAAGCTGCAAACCTGTCAGACTGGTACAAAATGAAAGATGGCTATTCTGAGATTAGCTCTTAAATTTTTCCGTGCACTATCGTTAAAGTGGATGTAAACTTGACGTTATCACTTTGGATCATTCTAGGGCGGTTGAGCTCACCGGTGATAGCACACCAGATATTCGTATCTTGCGGTCGGCCAAAGTAGTCATTACAACTCCGGAAAAGTGGGATGGCATAACGCGAAGCTGGGAAATCCGTCAATACGTGAAAGATGTGGCGCTTGTTATTATCGATGAGATTCACCTATTAGGGGTTGAAAGAGGCGCAGTTTTAGAGGCAATCGTCACGAGGTAAGAGTTTATCTGTGTTGTGAACGCAGAAAAACAAAAAGCGGTTTTGTAAATCCATTTTTATTGCGTGGCTAATAGAAAGTTGAGATGCCAGAATTCTCTAGTTTATGTGTTATATGCTGCTAAACCTGTTACTTGTTAAATTTTGTCGTCAGAAAATTCGGCTGTAATTAGTTGGCCTAAGTGCTAGCTAATTACAGCCGAATTTTCTAACGACAAAATTTGCTGCATTTATTTAAAGCTTTTATAAGCATCTGTCAAAAAAAAAGCCACTGATAGCCTTGTTAACGTTGGTTGCTGCTTGCGCGTGCTACCATTCGGGCTGCTTCCGAGTGCCTTCGCTTTTCACAAAGAATGATTGTGGGTGTCTCACTTTTGATTTGTTGGCCTGTACATACAAATCACCGATCGACTACTCGGAGACGCGACAAAGTTTTCTAGTTGCGGGAACAGAATTCCTGAGTGGATTGTCACGCTGGTCTCAGAGACTAATGGTTGTCTAAACTCCTGAGTGAGTAATGCACTAGCCTTTCACTCGATTTAGAGGCCGGTAAGAACCTAAATTCCTAAGTAGATAGGTTGCACTTGTCACGAGGCCCGATGACTGATGTCGGCTAAGTGCTCTTGCTGGGGCCATTTGGGCCTCTTTACGTCTCAGCAAAAGTGCTTTTCATTGTGTGTCTGATGGTTGCTGTTCTGGAAATAGTGCATTTGTTATCGGTGTCGAATGTGCTGTTCAGTGTTCATGTATATTGCGTTGTAAATAGTTGACGGTTGTATAAAGGTTCTGTTACAGGTTAAAATTGATGGCAGCAAAGCAGAAATCAAAGGATCCCGTCCGAATAATTGGTCTTTCAACGGCACTTGCAAATGCTGGCGATGTAGCTGAATGGCTTGATGTCAGAGAGGTA